AGAAGGTTTTATGTTGTATTTCATAAAAATTAATTATGTAAATAGAAGAAACATTTAATCTGTGAGGGAGGGAGAATAAGAGAAAACAACAATATTCCAAATGATGTTCTACAAAGAATGACCAATGTTATGAAGACAAACTAAAAGATAGATTAGAATTAAAATCAAGATAGGAATGCCACTCTAAACAAGTACTATAGCTTAGATGAATTTTAAAAGAAATATTTTTTAAAATTTATTGATAAATATTATCTAAGTAAAGCACAATTATAGTTGCAAGAATTTAAAATTTTTTTTTGAGTAATGACATAAAGTTAGTTTAGCCACTTTATGTTAACCATAAGAAAATAATTGGTAAAAATATACCAATCAATAGATGAAGGGTAAAGATTCGTTACTTACAAATTATTCAGACACAAAATTTTAAAAAAATATTTTTTGGAGGACTTACAAAAGAAGAAAGAAATCAAATTCTTAGAGGTGAAGCTAGTAGGTGAGTTTGTTGTCAAGTTCTAAGATTTGTCAAGTATTTCCTTTACTTCAAAAATAATGTTGATGAGCACTTAAAATGTGTAAATTTATAATGATGTTTGAGGTTAAAGATTAAGCAAGTAATTAATTATCAACAAATTCATAACTTTTTAACTCTTGCAAACAAGCACAAAATCTATGAAGACAATAATAAATCACCACTTATTCTAATGATGAATTATAGTCATCGATGAAACAATATTAAAAAATGGCTATTCCTATTAAGTCCTCAAGTTCTTTTTTCTAAAATCTTCTTTTAAAGGTCTACGTTTTTTTTTTTCTAGAGTTTAAGACAACTATTCTTTGATATGGAACTTATCAAAACAAGGTTTCTTTAGGTTAATATTGGGAGGATTAAACATGAGTTTTTTTGTTCAATAAAAAATAATTAGAATATATGAACATCTAAATCTTATACATTATATGTAATCATAAATTTTCTACAATAATTTTTCCTTGAAATACTTGTAGAACTTGCTTCCCTAGCTTTATCTGAGATTAGTTTGCTCAATACAATCTATGGTCATGATATTTTTTGTAGTATGTTGGCAAACCTTGCTACTCAACTCAAATGATGTCTAAATTACTTCAACCTACATTTTTCACCTACAATTATAGTAAAAATGTAGTAGTTGTCCTAACTAAAAATTAATACAATTTATTATACAAAGAGTATGAATATGTTAAATTCGAAGATAAATTATATGTTAATTTTTATGAAAAAGATATGCGTGATTCACACATATTAATTTTAACACTTACAAGACATTATATAGATTAATTATATTCATTCAATCAAATTATATTATAAGGTTTATGTCAAATTATATAGAATGTTTATAAATTTTTATTATGTCTATAAATTAGTTTGATATATAAATTTACAGTTTAGTAATAATAATGCGAAGTATGTAATTATTTATCATCCCATAAAAGAAATAATCAAGCAAAAAATATAAAAAAAAATGAAGAAACATATAACAAGTAAAAATAGAATTTGAGTTTATCAAATTCTCAACACCAAAACCTTCTCAAGTGTGTAAGAAAACTTTTACAAAGAGTAAAAACATTATCCTTGATATCCAAAATATTGACATAGTCAATACATCTAAAGGTGTATTGGCTAAGAGTAGTGTATGACACTTAATAAAATTCTCCTTTTACCAATTAAAGATATTAAGATTTTGAGTTGCCTTCTCTCAAGTCTTCAAGCAATACAAATTCATTATAATTTTATTTATACTTTCACTTATTTGCATGTCCTTAAATTTCATAGAATGAAAGATTATTAATGGTTATTTTAGTACTTTCTATTTCATGAGTAGAGTATGTAGATTCTTGAACTTGACCATTTCTATAATTATTAAATATCTTGTTGAAAGTGTTATTTATTCTTTTACTTAAAAAGTTAATGTCCTTCTTGTGAAGGTCAACATGGTTTAACTTTATAATTTTGATTAATAATTAGATTAATAATCTATTAATTATTAATGGGTTCATTTAAGCATACATGAACCAAAAGTGATAAAATATTGAAAAATATTAAATCATAAGTGCTTATCCATAGATCATACGTGAATATAGTCTAAAGGGATAATTGTTTAATAAAAGAGTAACATCATATTCAGAGGGCAAGTGTATCCGTCGAGAAATAATAAAAGATTCAAAAATAAGTTTCCAAAATATCCTTCCACAAAAATTGATTTTCAATTACTAAGAATTTCTTAATTCAATTCTTTGAGCCTAAAAGATGTGAAATTAAGTAAGAACTAGAATTTAATTATAAAATTAATTATGAATAAAAATAAATAATACAACACACGTCTTGGTTGAACTTATAGAAGAGAAACTTATAATATATAAGTTTTCTTATTTAATCTTTTATGTTATTTTTCTATTTAACTCTAAATTTGATTTCCTTGTGATTACCAATAATTCATACAAATACTATTAATACCCAATAATTATGCAATACTAATATTCTTTTCTCTAAATTAATATTCACAATGTTCACGCAAGACATCAATCAAATAAAATATAAAACACATATGAACTTATTAATTTAATAATGATTGAAAGAGAAATATTGGTTTGGTCCACCTAATCCTTTGTTTCGTTTTATCTTATAGATCTAATAACTAATCGAGGTATGGTCGCTTGACAATATAATTAATTATGATTATAATTATGTGCAATAAGATAAAAACTAATCACGAATAGAAACTAAATATAGATTCAAACTTTAAAATCTCATAAATAATAGTTCCTATAGTCCTAGCTATAGACTTAGTTACTTATGTTAAAGAGAAGAACTAAAACAATCATAAATAAAGTTATAGAAAAAAGTAAACTGGAAAGAGATGATTTTCTGATCTTCAAGTACGGTCACTCGAAGCTCCAAGTCCCAATAAGAGTATGCTAACAATCTTGTGCAAAAGAGACAAGATGAAAGGTGTGTCGAAGAACTTAAAACAAGATGTCTGATGTCTCTCTTTAATAGGGTTTAAAAATCTTAAAAGTTCTTCATTAATTGGACTGACTGCAAATAAGCACAGTTGTGCAAGGCTGTAAGTATGACAGTGCATAGACTCAAAGCACTTCGTGCTTGATGATAAGATTTGGGCTTATTGATTGCTGCAAAACTCTATTTTACAACCAATTGGACCTAAAATATGTCTTAAACCTAGTTGTGACCTTTTTATGCTAAATTGCATAATATACAAATAAATTAATGTAAAATTTAAATAAAGTAAATGTCAAATATCAATATATGAGATGTAAAAGAGGACTTAATTACAAACTTATCGCATCATAATCTAAATATTTTTGTGTTGTATCATCTTTGGACAAGTTTTAATAATGGATTAAAATAACATTGATCTTCAAAATTAAATTTTGAAATTGTAGTAATTTTGAGCAGTACACTTGATATAAAAGTGGATACAACAACTCAATCTTTTTACTAAAATTTTTTAATCACATTATTGAATAGAAAATTTCACCTATTTTGTACTTTTATTATATGTCAATAGAACAAAGAAAGTGTTGCACTTTCATGATATATAATAATGTTAAAATGTAATTAATGAAGATTTAATATTAATATTTAATAGAAATATATATTTTTTTAAAGTTTCCAGCGTGTATCAAAGAAAACAAGTATACATATACACATTAATTAACTACCCTAAACTTATGTAATTTCTATTTTAGTTATCATTCTTTATTCTTTTTAAGCACATTTATCGTATATTTCTTAGTAAGAGGCTTAGAAATATTTCTTATTCTAATTGTGCATACATTTATATGTTATTAATCCATTATATGATATTTTACTTTCTTTTGTGAATTTTTTAGGTGCAGAGTTAAAAGTTAAAAGATAAAGAGAAAAATAACATAAACACATGTATAATAACTTAATTTCAACTTATAAAATTATATATAATAATTTTGATTTGAATTAGATTAGTTTTCAAATAAAAATAATTTTAAATTTATTTTTATTTTTATTTAAACACCTTAATTTTTCTTTTTTGAATAACAATTTTTACTTTCCACAAAAGGAACAAAGTAAGGAAGTTGAACTTAACCTTAATTTGTTCAATCAACTAAAGTTAATTAATCAACCTAATTAATTAGTAAAAATACATTTATAATCTTATGAAATATTTGTTATATAATGAAATATTAACATTAATTCTTAAAATTTATTTGAAGTTTTATTATGAAAAATATTTATTATATTAAAAATAAAAAATAAATATTTTTATTTAAAAAATATATTATTTTAAATACTTAAAATTAAATTTAAGAGTTTAACTTGTTTTAAGATTATAAGCATTTTTTTTTATTAAAAACAATCTTATTTGAGTCGGATAAAACTAACGTGAATAATAAATCTATATTTTTTAGTATTCTAAAAATTGACGTTAACATTTTTATTTTTTATTATTATTTTTTGTTGTTATGTAATTTTCTTAATTTTATCTTATTAAAATAAAATATTATAATAAAATTATAATTCATAAAAAAATTACTAGTATGTGTCAAAAACTAAAATTATACGCTTTATTAAATATAAAAAATAAAATAAATTAAATTTTTATGAAGATTATAATTGATTATTGACTAAAATTATATTTTTTTGTTAAAAACTAAAATAAATAATTTTTATAAAATTTAAAAAATTTAGAAAAGAATAACTTATTTAAACTATAAAAATTAAGATGTTATAGTATTATTTTAAAACAAAATTAAGATATCATTAAAATAAAAAGATAAACAAAATTTTGTTCATATCTAGAAAAGGGGAGGAGATTGTTGAAAAAGTTTAAATAAAAGAGGTATTAGAGTAATTTACTCTTGAAACAAACTAATCAAACACCAAACAAAAAAATGCAAACAGGCTTAAATGATACGTGTATCTTCCAATGAGAGGCGACCACGTAGGATCCAAGTTTGACAACCTCGTTGTGCAGCAGCAGCAGTTGGCACCTCGTTTGGTTGGAGTCTTCAATTACCCATAATTAATTCTCAACCCTTGTCGCTGAAATCTGTTTTGATTCTTCTTCTTTTCCACCTTAACCCATAACCTACCTAATCAATCAATAATCCTTTTGTTTTTCTTCGTCTCTTCAATCCCACTATGATGTTGACGATGATTGGGGTAGCCCACAAACCCCTCTTGCATCTCTCTCTTGTAATTTTGATGCTGTTTTCTTCTTCAACTGAATCTCTCAGATTCGAACTCCAATCCGGTCACACCAAATGCATCTCCGAAGACATCAAAAGCAATTCCATGACAGTGGGCAAGTATCAAATCGTCAACCCCAACGACGGTCACCCCCTACCTGATTCCCACAGAGTCACCGTTCGGGTACATTAACAAAAAAATCTAAACTTTTCCGTGCCCAGTATTGAATCTTTGTGTTTTGAATCATGTTAACTCGTTTTTGGTTAATTGGTAATCGTTCTTTTTTGTTCAGGTGACTTCGTCTTATGGGAACAACTATCACTATGGGGATCGCGTTCAAACGGGTCAGTTTGCGTTCACGGCAGCGGAAGCTGGAGACTACATGACTTGTTTTTGGGCCGTGGATAACAATCCCCCAATAACTATGACCATTGATTTTGATTGGAAAACTGGTGTGGCAGCCAAGGACTGGTCTAATGTTGCTAAGAAAGGCCAAGTTGATGTGAGTGCTCACTCATTTATGTGTTTCACTTAACCCTCTAATTTGGTTGTTGAGTATAGTGTTGCTTCTTTAGTGCCTTGTGGAGGATTGACTTTGTAGTATTGTGATTCGTGTCCTCTATTCTAATAGGTTCCATCTTGTTTGTTTCTGAAAATTTAAGAAAAAAAGAATAAAGTCTATGTCTTCCATGATTTACTCGTTAGTTGCATTCCAAGGAATGGTTTTCTAAGGAGAGCTGATTTGGACTAATGTATATGGAATTTGTACCTCTGTCAAGATTATTTCAGGCAAGGTTATCTTACTGTGTACTTGACCTGGTTCTTGATGATTGCAAATTCTGGTATTGGGGTTGGTGTTACTGAATTTGTAGAAATTTACGGCTGATGTGGCTGCACCTCCTAAACCATGATATTCTTTACAGCTAAGATTGTGGTTGCAGATTGCAATTTAAAACCTTGATTAAGTGAATACTTGGTTTTAGTGTTTGCACTTCAGGGAAAATTCAAATTAATAAACAAGTAGCTTAGGTAGTTCTGGATATCAACTTGTTCTTCTCTAATAGCGTTCATGATTATGTTACACGCGAAGTACCAAGGGAACTGAAGGTTGCACCCTTATTAGGTCCATCCCCTAGCTTATGCTGCATGTACTGACGTGAGGTGAATGTAACCTATATGAGCTTTAGTGGCTAAAGCTCAACCTAATGTAATCGGTCAAGTCATGTGTGACATGATGTCAATAACCTGTTAGATAGGTTAGTATCTGTATCAGGGCTAGAGAGTTAAGATTTGCACCCTTACTGGTGAATTTCTTTTCATGGTAAGCTTATAGGGCATGTTATATTTCTAATAATAGCAAGCTTCTGACAGCATGATGTGTATATTGAATTGCAACCACATATCATCCTTGCAAATGTCATTTGTATGCAACTCCCTGTACTTGTAAATTTTTATTTGCTTTCCACTTTTGTTGATATTGATACATGGTAGTTAACTCTTTTGTTGGCTTATTATTCTGTTGACAAATTTGGCTTTCATGAATGATTGCTAAACACCAATTTCTTTTTTTGTATTATTCCGCCCCTGTATCTTTTTTTCTCAAGTTTACTGTAACCCTGTGGCGTGGATACTGCTAAAATTTATGCTCTATTCTTAAGCAAATCTGAACCCACTCAGAGCCTCCCTGTCCCACAACTCTAATCCATTTGTTGTTTGAGGCATAAACAAACTCATAACTCTGATATCTCAGTTACTTTGCAAAAGTTTTATTTTGCTGCTGACATAATGTTTGATAGAAGAAAACTTACACTGATTTCGTTCACCTGTACCAGGTTATGGAGCTAGAACTAAAGAAGTTGCAGGACACTGTGGCTTCTATTCATGATGAGATGTTTTATCTTCGGGAAAGGTAAGCCATGTCACAATTGCCTGGAAATTCTTAATTCAATGCATTGTCATGGGAAATTTTTAACAAGCATTTGTTCACATTTTTGTATAAGCTAGCGTATGGAAGAACTTATGGAGAGCTTCTAAAAGTAATTTGACTCAAATTCTTTTCAGCTTATTTCAATAAATTTATTCATATAACTTCTCAAAATAAGTTCTTTTTAGCGTTATGTCAATTGCTTTTGTAGTTAAATTTATGATGTAAACCTCTTATGCAATAAGAACTTATTGAATAAACATTTAATTAAATTGTTATCCAAACATATTCTAAATACTTAATTAAATACATGGACTTAGGATAGTTTAACAATAACAAACACTATTCTTCTAATTATATTTAACACTTTTATTTCCAGAGAAGAAGAAATGCAAGAGCTCAACAGAACAACCAACAGCAGAATGTTCTGGTTGAGTTTGCTATCGCTCTTTGTGTGCTTATCAGTAGCAGGGTTGCAACTATGGCATCTGAAGACCTTCTTCGAGAAAAAGAAACTCATTTAAAATTTTTGTGATAGTTTTTATATTTTTCTTATGTGCTCTTGTAAAATATACCGGCATTAATTTATCAGAGGATACGCGTAATGGTAGTCACTACAGCCCACAATATTTCCTTTGTTAAACGCAAATCAGAGTTATTGCAATCAGTGTCAAAGGAAATGTTGATGTTGAAATCTGAGTGTTTTTTTTTTTTTAAAGATAATAAATAAAAAGTCATTAAGCGGTTAACACCTTATCGATGATTGATTATGCTTTGTTAAACTGCAGGTCAACGTTATATTCCATCCTCCTGGAGTCAGGTTGCAGGAGATTTCCATTGAGTAATACATTTTTTAGTCTTTAAAATTATAAGTGTTTGTTTAATTTTTGAAATTGTGAAAAAAATTATAGCTATTGAAATATTCATAAATTATTCATTTTAGTTTTTATAATTAGTATTTAAAATTAAGAGAAATCTTTAGTTTTTATAATTGTTGATACTTGTTAATTTATAATTTAAAATTATTATAAGTTAACCATTTTAGTTTCTTCCTTTAATTTTTGTTAAACTCGTCTAACGACATATTGGTAGACTGTGTCAATGTGGAGCATAAATGACAAATCTTTGCAAATGGGTAATAAGAATGTTTATTAATCGATTCAAACCGTTGTAAGCTTCCTCTAATGAATTAACTTTTTGAGAGTGAATTAAATCTAATTTTCTAATATGTTTGATTTCTTACAATTTCAAGGACTATTTTTTCCCCATAATTTTAGGAACTAAATTGATAAATATCTATATTTTAGGGACTAAAATAATCAATTTTTTTATAACTTTAAGGACTTTTTTTTTCCCCTATAATTTTATAGACTAAATTAACCAATGTCTATAATTTTAGAAATTAAAATAACATATTGCTCGTTTTTAATTTTAGCAAGTTCCTTTACGCGTGACAGACAATTGACACAAATTAGGAACCCAAAGCCCAGTTAGCCTGTAAAATTCCATTTTATGTTTAAGACCAAAACTAAATTAACTTCTTGTATATTTGGAATTGATTTCTTATAATGAAACAATCTTGTAATTTTAAGCATTTATTTTTAAAAGTGAATAAAAGTAAGTGCCTATTTCATTAATAAATTAAATAATACATTTATCAATTATTCAGTTCATTAAAGTTTGATATTTTCGAGTCAGGATGACGATGAAGAGTTAAAAAACTTATTAAAATAAAACCAAAAAAAAATTCAGTTATTTTAAATACATTTGAAAGCTAAAAGATTAAAATAAAACAAAAAAATTAAAACAAAAAAAAAAAGTTAAAAGACCAATCTATTAATTTATTCTTGTAAATTATTTAAGTTTGAGCTAAATTTTATAATTTTGACAGAAATCAATGCTCGAATAAATTTTTAAAATTGTAATTGTCAGTCATTTAATTTATAATTTTCTAAAATTTAATTTGTTATTAATTTTATAAAAAATTATTTAGATTAACGTTAGATAAACCTTTTTGCAATTTTTTATAATAAAAGAAATAAAGAGAAAAAATAAATTAAACTTTTTTCAAAAGTTAAAATTAATAATAAAAATCCTAACAATGCATTCTCTCCCATTTTTTTAAATACATTTTTTGACATACTCTTTGTAATTAAAAACTAAACAGCTCCGGAAATTGAATCCACCATTGACACGATTTTTCACAGCAGATCACTGAATTCACGTGAAATAAGCGAAGAAAATAAATTCCCACGAGAAGCGCAACCCCAAAAAAGTTGGTAGCATCTGTACCACAGGAATTGGTAAAGCATAATACAAGAGTGGAAGCTACTATTATCTTTTTAAACGAGAGATGGAGCATAACACAACGGATAGCATTGGTGTGGCCTACTTCCTCAGTTTGTACACTTGAAACGCTTAACTTTAAACAACCACTTGCATATGCTCACTTGAATGGAACGAGAGCTTTAACAGCATAAAAACGTAGAAACCAGAGAAGGGCAATCAACACCTGGTCTTCTCATTAATCCAAACAGTTGAAAACAAGTATGGCTTTGCAGGTTTTCCAGTTAGCTCTACCAATCCATAAGATCCAGCAGCAAACTGGAACGGTAATGAAACATAAATCACCTGAATTTCTGAACATATTAATGCTCTTAGACATCTATGAAGCGAACAACTGCCAGTGATGGTCTCAAGGTAAATTCTCCTTGGTATTTTCAAGCCGTTTAGTAGACATTTATGAAGTAAACAAGTGCCAGTGATGATCTGAAGGTAAATTCTCCTTGATCTTTTCAAGCCATTTAAGGATCTCTATGAAGGAAGGCCTCTGATTCATGTCAGCAGCCCAACACTGCACTGTTAAACTGAAAACATGCAAGGCCAAAGTCCATAAGATTACTTATATGATCAGGGCCAATAGCTGCTCTATTAAATATTTGATGTAAACAAAATAAATGTTTACTTGCTGTAACATTTTTTAATAGCCTAAATTACAAAGCATTCCAGAACCTCTAATTAAATGGTCACAAAGTGAAAAATTAAATCATATATTCACTTGGAGTTTGTCAAATTGGAAGTACTACAGCAGCAAGAGTGCTTACATGGTTTCTCAATGTTCTTCCACGTACAGTGGATGGTAAAACCATGACCATTATTAACCATCCTTTTAGATTTGTAATTGTCATAGTGAATCAGACTAGCAGAGATTAAAGCATACCACCCATACAAAGTGAGATCATAGATGCTGGATCAGCAGAAAGGTAAAAGATGGGAAAACAAACTAAGATGTCTTCTGTGATTTTAGGGCAATGTACAATAGAAAGCCTAGTAATGCGCATCACATGGCTTAGATATCCCAGAACATGTAAACACATTAGAGTGTAAGCATTTGAAACTCTTGAATCAAACCAAATGAGTTTGAAATAAGGCAAAGAGGTGAAATCAATCCTAAGTCAGATGTTGAATAGAGGGGAGGTCAGACATATAATGTCAAGGATAGATTAATTGTAGGGATGCATCCTCTAACATGAAATATTTTCTCCAATGGAAGCATCTCAGCAATTACTTATATAAGATCCAGCAGAGTACGTGGACTTCTGACTGTAACATTTTAAATATATCAACTTTCCTTATCATATGCTACCCTGAAAGTACATATATAAGCTAGAATACAGTAAAGGACCTACCCTTTTAAAATCTTCAGCTATTAAGTGCAAACCTATAAATGATTTATATCTCTCAAACATGGCCTGTTATGTTAAAGCCTTTTTGGGCTTGGAGTGTGAACAAACCATGCATATGCTTAGAAGAATGAAATGATAACGCCAATAACTCTTCACCATTTGCTCCAAGTGTGATACCATGCCAAGAACTAACTCTCATAATAGAGTTCTAGAAAATTGGAAAAAAGAAATGTATCACAAATGACTTACTTTTGTAATTCAGGGATATAACCCTTTGCTCGAAAAGTAGGCCTGTGGCCCTCAGCAGCGCGCTTTGCTCCATCATAAGGTTCATAACTTGCAAAAGGTGGTTCACCTTCAAGCATCTGCAAGAGATGAAAGACATTACGAACTATATTCGCTTATATTGTATGACATAAAACTACTATGTTTAAGAAAGCAATTACCTCGTACAAAATCATTGCAAAGGAGTACACATCAACTTTCTTATCATACCTCCTATGTTTGAAAACTTCAGGAGCCATATAACGGTCTTTTTTTATCCCCCAAGAAAAAGAAAATTACATTAAGTTTTGCATAAGAATGACTACTAACATTTTAAACGAACTTTTGAGAATACTCACAGCTACCAGTTTCACCAGTCATCCTGTAAACATCATGAGAACTCTGGACTGTGATAAGCTTACTCAATCCAAAATCTCCAACTTTTAAATGGTCAGCACTAGAATTGACTAAAAGAACATTCCTAAAATTTCAGAAAATAAACTTCAACATATAATACAAAGACTTCTAAATTCCAGCAGCATGATTTTTATGACATAAAATTTTGTTGCTTCAATTTGTTAAAAGCAATACATCATAACATGCTGTTTGTGCAACTGGCAGATTATCCATATTAAGATAATGTGTTCATATTTAGATGCAAATAACCAACTTACCTTGGCTTTAGGTCTCGATGAATTATAACATTTGGTTCATTATGTAGATAGGCCATTCCTCTACAACAATATTCACAAAATATATATTAGCATAATGATAAGATTTATGCAAAAATGCTTCTAGATTTCCTAAATCTATAATCTCACCATCGTGAAAATACATGATACTCTGAATTTGAATTAGTAAACATTAGCCATATACTTGAGGTAATCTTCTATTCCCACCTCAAAAAGTTCTACTGGGTTTTGCTATATACTGAGGGGTCAGTAATCAAAGATACCAACCACTCTAAATTAACTTGTGAAAAAATTTGTAATGTTGTCTGCTTACAAGTGATATGCTTTTTAGTGTTTCAAGTACTACTCATACACAAAGCAAAGTTCACTCAGCTGGAAAATTTGTTTGCAAGATCTAGGTAGAGAGTCCCAACACCTTCGAATGGGACATCCCCTTCTCTTTTTCCCTCTTTCTCCCTGGGCTTCCTAGTACGGTCTGGTACAGAAAACAAGAGATTGACTGTGTTTTAAAAAAATTACAGTCACATCTTAACAGGGTTACTGCTTTGCAATTTATTTCTGGAATCAGTATTTTAATGTTTGCTTCACAGAATATCCTAATCCATAGGAGGATATTCTGGCTTATAGTCAGACATCAAGGTGCAGATCAGGTTGAGTTGATTGCAGTGAGCAGTAAACAGCACAAGTAATACAATGGACCAAATCCCCTTTTATAGTATTCCAGCTTCCAAAAGCTAGGTAGTAGGTTTGAAACTGGCCTTTTGGAATTTTTTGAGCAGTAGATTAGCCCAAATCTGTGAATATTTTAATCACTCCATTAAGGGCTTGTTTGGAAGAGCTAATGAACAACTTATAGAAAATAACTTATGACTCTCATAAGCTGTTTTTAGCTTATTTCAATAAGCTACTTAGTTAGCTTGTCAAAATAAGCTGTTTACAAGTTATCCCAATAAGTTTCATTGCTAAATTTGATACAAGTTATCGTTTTAAAACAAGCTTATTAAATAAGTGTTTAAATAAGCAGTTTTCCAAATGAACCCTAAAGCAGCATCAAAAGTAAGGGAATAAGAATCTAACGTTTTAGGAAGAATGCTCTCCTTGTGAAGCTTCTGTGGCTGGAGCACAATACTCTTCGTTGTTTCTTTTGTTTTGTTATATTTTTAGTTATTCCTCTTATCCTTCCCTTGTGTACTTCTCTTTTGTTCTTAGTAATTTCTTCTTCCAAGATAAAAAAGTAAAAAAGACGGTAAGATACCATACCTGGCAATATCCATGGAAAAGTTGATAGCTGTTGAGGGACTAAGTGGACCTTTTTCTTTGAGGTACTGATGAAGATCACCCTGTAAATGGATGAAACAGAAGTTCAATTTCGAAACAGAAGTTTGCTAAATAAAAAACTATGGGTAGAATGCTCAATTTGAAGTACTTATATTTTATTCACATACCCCTCTTAGATACTCAGTAATTAGCATAAGGGGCTTCCTGTCAGTGACAGCTCCAAGAAACTGAACTATGTTGGGGTGTCGAAGCTTCACCAACAAATTGACTTCATGCCTGAAGTCCTGACTGTACAAAATTAAAACACGCAGAGAGAGAAGATGAGTCATTGATATTTGAGATAGCAGAAAAAATTAGGACAGACAAAGTATGGCTCACATTACAGCATCAACAAATAATCACTAACTAGCATCAACCTAATCGAGGACAAATTCTTGAGATAAATGAATGAAACTCACATCACCAGTCTATCTTCTGAAAGAGATGGTAAAATACGTTTGACAGCAACTGGCGTTCCACGCCAATGGGCTTTCAAAATCTCACCAAAAGACCCCTGCATGAAACATAAGCAAAATGAACACTAACGACCGTCCTTAGACGATTACGCAACAATAAATCAATAGAAAATACAAAGAGAAAGACAATCAGAACTCAAAGCAGGTTGAGACGGCCTGATCTACGTGCGTGTCAAGAAACAGAAGCAGAACTACACTAGAACGGAGAGTTGACCAAAACACAGAGCAAGCATTGAAAATGCATAAGCGATACCAACCTTTCCAATACGCGCCGAGTTGGAGAAGTCAAGTTCAGAAGGGTCAACTTCCCAATCACACTTGTTAGGCAACGGTGGCGGAACAGGCTTTGGTTCAAAATGGCTTCCATTTTGCCCCTTCAAACATCATCATCATAATTCAAACCTCAACTTCACTCATCATTCACCACAGCGAGAGAAAGAAACATAAACAAAACTCACATAAGACAAGCCTCCATGGGATTGCAAAAGCTCGATCACGTTACTCTTCTTAGCTCCTTCTGCATCCGCCAGAGGCTATCCACAAAAACCAAAACCTAAATTTCACAATGAAGCATGTAGCCAGAGAAAGAGAGAATAACATTAATTAGGATTAGGATTACGGTGTTTTTCCAACGATCTTGCGCGTTTACATCAGCGCCGAATTCAATTAAGCAATTGGCAACGTCGATCCAACCATGGAGGGATGCCACGTGGAGCGGCGTGCGGTTATCGTAATCTCTGGCCATAACCAACGAAGGATCCTCTTGCAGGAGCTTTCGCACCGATGCGGCGTCGTTTTGGTGCGCGTGCCATAGGATCAACGACGTGCGACTCACCCTCTGTTTCTCCTTCTCCTTCTCTTTGTCACTGCTACCGGAACTCATCGTTTCTAACTTGAAAACGATTGCTTGGTTTCACGAATGAAATCAAAGATTGGTTCAAGTGTCGGTTAATCTTTTCTCGTTTGGCCTTCCCTTTTCTGTTCACACACTATAGCTTTGACCTTTACTCCTTCCAACCGAACCATCTTTTGAGTGTCAACTCCCGAGCCTCTATTTACTCTTCAATTTCGTGGGGTATATTCCTGCCAAACCCCCTTTTCTAACTTCTATTTTTATCGATATTACCTGCACCCTATCTTTACTTGAATGCAAAATTTTACTTGTCATTGTTTCGAATCAACGATCATGATAAGCATTTTTATATGATTATATTAACTATATATTATCTAATGCATAGTCATCGAACTTGGCCGATTCCTAAACTTAAGAATATGGGTTGAAGTTATTTTGCTTTATATTTTAGCTTACTTCATTCAAGTTTTCTTATTTATTTATGTGGTTAGATTTCCATGTGAATTATATTACTCCTCTAAAATGTCACAAGTTTCTCACGTCTTAACTCGACCATAAATACTTCATTTGTGACGTATATGAGCGAAGAGGTCAACACACATTATTTCTCTCTGAATTATATCACACGGTGTTACAGAGAAAAATAATATCTAGTATGAACAAGTTAAAAAAAATAGCCTTGAATCATGTATTAACTTTTTATCATTTTTAATTAATATTTCAAATCTTTTATGATAAGATGGACAGGTGCGGTTGACATGTCAAGTGTCTAATTATTGCTATTTCTTAGCACCAAAAAATCTCCCCAAAAATAGAACACATTCAAGAGAAGAGTTGTTTACTTAAAATTTCAATGTTATCATTAATTAATTCACGACTCCCTTGAGACAAATTGACATGCTTAACTCCTACGACAATTCTGGACGAGGGTGGCTAATGGAAGATGTCTACATTTGTGCCAGTAAGGACAAGTCGTTGCTGCCCTTTTACGATTCTGAAAGAAAAACGTATAATCCATTTTGAGCTTAACTTGAGTAATTGCAATAGCAACCTTAAAATTTTGGAAAGAAAATAATCCATTTTTGTTTCTGCTACAGCACAGAAATTTATCAGGAAATGCAACCAATCGCACGTCAACCCTAAGATTATCTCCTCGAAAATGCTAGAAGTTGTATTTATCTTTAGTAAAAAGAAATAAAGAATGTAAACAATATGTCAACCTTAGTTGCATCTAGGTTGGCATTTGACTATTTTTCGAGGCAAAAAACGATGATCGCGAAATGGAGTACACAAAGCTGAATCGAACTCCCAAGTGTCTGCTTGTGATCTATTTTTCTAACATTAAATTTTTATTAAGTTTAAGATCTCAAGTTGAAATTAAGGACCAGTAATTAAGGTGATGAAAGTGATGCCCAAAACTAATGGGAGATTATCAAAGTATGATCATTTTTATTCAATGAATAATTGAAAATTTTTTTAACGTAAAGCATTTTCACAACATTTTTAGATGATGTAAGAGATGTGTGAACTTCTTCAGGATGGAGAATAAATTTTGTGATATCTAAAATAAAAGTTTTTATAAGATATTTTAGGGAAATAAATTTTCCTTAGTTTGTGGAGGAAATTAGACGTTCAATTTTTTCTTTAAACGAAAATGAATTTGTTTAAGCAAATCCAACTTCTCCCACCTGAATTCTTCTCCTCCTTTTCTCAAGTCACGTCCTTCCATGCCCATCCCAAACTCTTCTTAGCCCCCTCGTGCACTCTAAGCTACCCTCAATCCTTCCTCTCCTTACCCAACTCTGCTCTCCTTTCTCCAAGTCTTTACTCCAATCCCGCTCTTCCTTTCTCTAGCCCTCATCTTGCGCTCCCCTCAGTCCCAGCTCTCGCTCTGCTCTTCCTTCTCTTTACTCCTCATATTTCTTCTGATAATTTTTTTTTAAATGGTAAGATTCATTTAAACAAAAATAAAATTGGATGTTCAATTTATGTATCAGCGGGAGAAAATTCAAATTTATATTTAAGACTAAAGTTACTTTTGACTAAAAGAAACACCATATTCATTTAGCATTCATTCTAAAACATGTCTTGGTACACTAAAATCAAATCATGTCTTACAAGATTTATACTAATAAGTAATTTTTTTCTTTTTTTTTTTCAAAAAATATGATACTTTTTTAGTTTTTACTTCACCCAAATGATTTAAAATAAGTTGGTGCAGGTAAAACATGTGCCATTTTGTCACTCAAAAAGTACCTACAACATTGTATAAAAATGAATAATAAAGAACCTAAAACATGAGGAATTAAGAAAGGAGAACATGGAATAGAAATGTAAAACCTTATAAGTAAGAATAGAGGATGGAGAATGTAGTATTCTCATTGAGAGGGAGTCATGGTGGAAGGAGATGTTGATGTCGTGGCAATGTGAAGGGGATCTGGATCCAGTGCAGTTAACACGGGAATTAGACGCCTAGTTTCATTTTTGCTTAAGCGAAAATGAACTTACTTAAGCGAAAATGCAAAAAACGACAATATTTTTTTTATACAAAATTAGCTTAAGCGATTTTTTTGGCTTATGCAAATTTTACAGATTGGCTTAAGCCAATTATGTTGGCTTAAACGAATTTTGCGTTTTCTTTTTCAATCTTTTCTTTTTCTTTTTCCTCGTGTCTAACACTCCTTACTCAACCTTCATATTCAGCTTTTTTTAATCTTTATATTCAACCTTCTTTCTTCTCTCATGCCCAACTCCTCTATTCTTCTTCTCTCTCTCACCCCACCTCTTACCTATATCTCCCTCTTTATTTCATACCCAACTCTCCATCCTCCTTTTCCTCCACCACAATCCTATACCACCACTCTGTTTATCTCCATCTATCCTCAGTCATCTCTTCCTCACACCTATCTTCTATCTCCTCAATTGCAACAGATTCACTTAAGTCAAAAAAATTCGCTTAAACTAATTTTGCATAAATTTTTTTTGTTATTTTTATGTATTTTTGTTTAAGCAAAAATCAATGTGTTAATCACACTAGATCCAAATCCATGTGAAGGAGGACGACACATGGTCCCATAATCATAGATGCACACAGAAGATCACAAACTCACGAACGTATATTTGAATAGTCAACATCATAGGGTCACAGTCTCGCAAAGTCGCATCCTATATTTATGGACACAAGTCAACATAGAGCTTGAAGTTGGAGGAGGCAAAAGGTAAAAATGTGAAAATGTCAAGAAGAAATAGTGAAGAACTAATCATGGCTTTTCAAATTTTAGCGCCTGTACACCACAGGTGGGATTTTTGACATAAATAAATAAATATAAAATTTGTATGACGTAAATATTGTTTTATAAATTTGTTTATATTTATGTCCTGATTTTATTTTAACATATCAATTTGACTTAATTATATTTTTGGTATTTTTTTACAAATTTGTTTACATTTATGTCTTGATTTTATTTTAACATATCAATTTGACTTAATTATATTTTTTGTTTTTATGATAGATTCTTATAAAATTTGTTGTTAAGATTTAATTCCTAAAAAATTATGAAGTTAAGACTTAATCTCTATCGCTTAATTCTTCTTTGTTAAGTGATAATGATAGCTTAGCAATCCCATATAGCATGCCATATAATATAATTTTTTATTATTTAAAAATTATATAATTACAAACAAGCTCTGGATATATTTTACATATTTGTAACTCTTCTTCCCTTTCTCCTTCTCCTCCCCTCTCCATCTCCAGCTACCCACTCCAACCACCACTCCTCCCTCTCCTTTCCCGCTACTCATCCCAATCCCAACTCCAACCATCACCCTTCTCTTCCTCCCCACTACCCCCCTTTTTTCTCCCTTCCAACTATCCACCCCAACACCAACTTCACATTCCTCCCGCTACTCACCCTTTCTCTCATCCTAACCTCAACCCCAACTCCATCCACTCACCCACACTCCCCTCCATTGTCACTGCACACCCTCACCTGCACCACTCTTTCCTCCTCCCCACATCCACAGAGTTTCTTCTTCATTTGGTTGCTTGGAGTTTTTGAGATGTGTATTGCAATTTATGTAGGGCCATAATATCTCACAAGAAAAGCAATAGAATTGCTTGGTTAGCAAACCTACAAATAACACACCATGAACAAAACTATGATAAGATCTGTAAATTTTATTAAAATATAATATGAAATATTTTATATTGATACATAAAGAATAAACAAAACAAAGAACAACTCATGTAAGTAATTTTTCTAATCTCGGGGCTGGATTCTCCAACCAGCCGACCATCCCCTATTTCTATCCTTCATTGGCATAGCGTAACCGCCACCAACTCCTTGCTTTCATCAACGTTCACCAATTTAACACCTGTGAAAGAACAACAACAGCAACACTTATAAATAGCCATTGAACTAACTGCACGTGAGTTCAATTATTAATTATTTCAATTAAAATTATCAAGTGTTTAATTTAAAAATAAATCATGTGATTTCGATCTAGGTCATAGGTTAACTCTCTTACCTTTGAAGCTTTGGATGATTCTTCAAAATTTCATAATGCAACTGTCACAGTGTAATCAAATCTTCAAAACCACCGTGCTCAATACCGAAGTAAGAATAAATTAATAAAAAGTCGGTTAGTGAAGGGAGTGAGGAGAAGAGGATCTTTTTGCAAATATAAAAAAAATATAATTAAGTATTTAGTAAAATATAAATTTTGAATTATAAAATATTATTAAAGTAAATGATATGGTATGCCACGTGATGCTACGTGAGATTGTTAAATTAGCACTTTTTTAGCTATCTCAGCACTTAATAGAGAAGAGTTAATGGCATAAATTAAATTCTAACTTCATAATTTTTTAAAGATTAAATCTTAACAAAATTTTTTATAAGAATCTATCATAAAATGCTTTATATTTACAGGGATAAAAAACATAATTAAACTTATCAATTTTAATTAACTTTCTTGTAAATTTTGCATTGAACTTAAACAAAAGTTGATTTGAATCGACTTTTTACCATTTTAAAATTTGTGTCTACAAAGAAATCGATTTAAATCGACTTGCCTTCATACTTTGATTTATAGTTACATAGAAGTTAACTATGTCGACTGTAATTAACTATCTTTTACAAAGAAGTCGACTTTAATCAACTTTTATATTGGTGATTTCCTAAACTAAAGTTGATT